TATGTGATCCGCAGATCGAAGTGATCTTGATCGCTTCCGGCTCAAGGCTTCCGAGAAGACCGTGGGCTGACTCGAACAGCTTCTTGTTCCACTGCCGGACCCAGTCTCCTTCGACTTCGACACCGACCGCATGCACACGTGTGGGGACATAGCCCACATCGACAATCGAGTCCACAAGATCACGAACGTCTTGTGGATTCACTCCGTACCCATCCCGGTTGCAGGGATGGATCCCCACAAGGCTCGCCTCCAACTTCATGGAGGTCAAGAGATGCTTGGACTTCAAGTAGTTCAAGCAGTTCTCCACGATTCGGACAAGGCCGTCGCCATCCGAGGCTTCTCGAAGGAAAGCCTGCAGCCGCTCTCGCACATCCGACTGCAAAGGCATGATGGGCAAGCGAGATGGAGGACGGAGCTGAAAATCTGCCTGCGAGCCAAGGGCCCTGCAATGGCGATAGATGGCTGCAATGCATGGAGTCATGCACAATACACAGAAGGCAAGCATGCGAGCATGTCCTCAACACATGCAATGCAGCAGCTTTCCATGCAATTTTCAATTGCATCCTGAATACATGCGGCAGGAGATCTCCATGCAAGCTTCCGTTTCAAGCTTTGCAAATGCCAGGAAAACAACTTCAAATAAACAACTTACACCACTTACCTAAATCAGTTACACAAAGTTATCTAAGTTTGGCAAGTTGCTTAAAAGACTTGTTCTATCTTACTTATAAGTTCCACCCTGCTTTTGGCTAAGTGACTCAACTGCTTGCTCCACTTCTTAATTCAAGCCTCGGACTTGCTAAGTTGTCCATACAACATAGTATATATACAGCACTTATAACTCATGTTAACGAACTTGTAACTCAACTTAACCTGATTGTCTAAATCTCCTAAACCATGTATTCGATTACTAAACACCCCGCCCCTTCAAGTAAGGGTTTGGGGTTCGAGGCTAGCTCCACTTCCCCTCCTTGTGTCGATCCTGCTCGGGTTTGGGGCTGCGTTCAGGGTTTCCCTCGACCCGCCCAGCTGTTGCCCCTACCTCGTTCTCCCCGCGGGGCGGTACGCCCCCAGGGGTTTAGGGTAGCCCCTTGCGCTCTCCTTTCGTCCCGAAGCCAGGGCCCCTTTTCCCCTTCCTCACCAGGCGGTAGCACCAGCCACCCGCGGCCCTTCGCCGGTGCCGAGACTCACGAGGGTCTCGGCCGCATGGTGCCGCGTGCTGGTGCTCCTGAGCATGGTTTTCGGAGTTGAGGCTCAAGGTCGCTCGGGAGCCGTGGCACGCTTCGTGCCCGGCTATGAGGAGGCATACTATACCTGTCTCTGCCTCGTTCTATGCATCCTCGCAGGCCTCAGCATTTGCTCGGGCTACACCCTTGGGGTGTGGCGCCGGTCTCGCCCGTGTGAAAATGCCACTTTCCAGAGCTTCGGGCCCTCCGGAGCCTCAAGTTCAGGCACAGCCAGCGCGAGCACGGACCCTTGGTTTGGCTTCCGTGGAATTGCTGAATGGAACCAGCGTGCTGCCCCTGCCGCAACCACAGGTGCCCCAACCGGCGGGCCCGGCGCGGTTCAGGCAGAAGGTGGAGCCACCTCCTCTACTTCACCCCCGGGGCCACCCCCCAAGGCACCACCGCCGACTCAGAATCCCGAGCCCGGGGCACTCCAGGTGCAGCCTGCACCAGCACCCGGAGGAGGAGAAGGTGATCTTCCCCCTCCACCCGCGAGCGATTGTGGTCGCCTCTCAGAGTTCTGTTTGGCGCTATCGCAACTGCCCCCGCATCCGGGGACGAGAGGTCCATACGATTGCTGCTTGCCGGGATTGCAACCCCGGGGTGGACCCCACCGGCTTCGAAGCTACACCCCGGGGCAAGGCTTGGCATAGGCGCTCGTGCGGCCACATTACGGGTCGTGGAACCCGAATGCTGGAACGCTGCCAACTTTGCCATGCCCAACTCCTCCGGCGCAACCCAGGTCCCGCCCGGCGTCGTCGGCCGCCTCCTGGCACCGACGATGCGGCGCGTGATACCAACCATGCCATCGCTCATCCCTTAAAGGAGGTCGAGGCACGGGAGCGTTTTGGAATGTGGGCGTTGGGCCTTCTTCTCGGGGTTTGCGTCCTCTCCCTGGGTGCCTGCTTGTTCTTCTCCCTTTCGGGACCCTGGAGGGCAGAAGAGAACCCAGGTTTTGTGGCTCAACCAGAGTTTTCTTCTCGTAGGGCCGGCCGGGGTGCAAGCCCTCCCCCCGCGGCTCGTTGCGAGCCCGGGGAAAGCAACCTTCGCCCCCTCCCATGGAGTGACGAAAGGCGCGTCCGCTTTGCGGAGGAAAAACCGGAAATGATTTCTCCCTTGGCGCATCGTTCTCGGGCTCCCTCGTCTGAGCGCAAGCGAGCTAAGGCTGTTCCGCCGCCAGCGTCAGAGATGCGCAAGCGTCCCGACTTGGTGCAAGTCCCGCATTTGCAGGGACCGGCAGGTGCCAAGGCTCGGTGGCCTGCCGCTACTGTCCTGCAGTTTGGGGCGGTGGGGCCAGATGATTGGGGGGCTACGGCTCTTCGCTATATAAAAGCCAGATTGGCCACCTCCACTCAGCGTCTCTATGCGTTGCTACTGGACGTGGTGGGCTCTGTTTTGCTCCCGACGAGGGATATCTCCTTACCGGCACGTCCCGTGTTACAATGAGAGCGAGGAATCATTATTCCTCGACTTTATTCTACATACGTCGCTCAATGGCCTCAGATCCCACGGCACCATCAAGATGAGGTTGGCGGCGATCCGGTCAGAACACCTGACGGTCGGCCTGCCCAACCCACTTGCCCAGTTTCCTCGGATTCCTTTGGTGCTCGATGGGATCAAGCGGAAGTACCCAGCGCTGGAGAGGCGGCACCCAGTTACGCCTGCCATGCTTTTGGCAGCAACTAGGTTGCTGCAGCACGAAAAAGATGGCCCAGTGATTGTGCTTGCACTATTTCTGGGCTTCTTTTTCCTCCTTAGAGCTTCAGAGCTAATAGGGGACGCCTGGCATGGACAAACTCGGGGCCTTCGAGGCTGTGATGTGGTTCTGCTCCGCGGCGGGAAACCCTGCCCGGAGAAGGAACTTTTCGCAGCCGACGAGCTGAGAATCTTTATCCAAAGCTCGAAAACCGACATCTACAACGCTGGAGCTTCGCGCAACCATTTTGCCACGGGCCTGGAGCTTTGCCCAGTTCGGGCAGCAATCAGAGTTTTCCAGCTCTACCCGCAGAGATATCCAGGAGGCACCGAGCAGGATGAGCACCTTCTTCGAGGAGAAAAAGGAGATCTCCTTACGAGGCAGTTTTTGCAGCTGGTGCTTCAGCAATGCGCGGAACACGTGGGAGAATCCCCCTCGCTCATCAAAGTGCATTCTTTGCACTTTGGGGGAGCGAGTGCCCTCTGGTCTAGATACCAGAATGCAGAGCTCATCAAGAGGTACGGCAGGTGGACTTCTAACGCCTACCAGTCCTACCTCTGGGAGTCGCGTGAGTCCGCTCGAGGGGTCGCCGAAAGCATGGCGCTAGCAGACCTGACCCCTAGCTAGGCGGGCGCTTTGCGCTCTCCGGCAATAATCGTGGTGCGTTTCCCGCCCGGTTTTTATGGGGCCTTGACCTCATTTTGAGGATCGCTTCGGCCTCCTTTTGTATATGGTCCTTTTTATGGACCCCCCCTCCCGCGGCGAGTTTCTCGCCCGGGGTCCCCCTTCGGGGGGGTTTTCTTCCTTTGCAGTGGGGGGTGGAGCAGCGAAGCTGCAAAGACGACTTCGTTCGTCGCGCGCTGCCAAAAAGGTTGTGAGTGCTTCGGAGAGTAGGAAACTTGGTAGCCTTGTATAGCCGTGTAGGCGTTGAGTTTCCTGTTACCCGTAGCACGGGCTCGAGGGTACCACACCCGCCCACCCCCGCAGCGAAGCTGCAAAGACGACTTCGTTCGTCGCGCGCTGCCAAAAAGGTTGTGAGTGCTTCGGAGAGTAGGAAACATGTCTTTGCTGTGGACACATTTGCTGCAGCAAGACGAGTTGAGTTGAGTCCATCATGCCGCCCCTTATGGGGTGGAGGTGGAGATGTTAATGTTTTTGCTGCGGACACATTTGCTGCAGCTAGCAAACCTTCATCCCAGGACAGCTAGAGCCCAGGCCATCATGCCGGGCGGGATTTTCATGTCTTTGCTGTGGACACATTTGCTGCAGCAAGACGAGTTGAGTTGAGTCCATCATGCCGCCCCTTATGGGGTGGAGGTGGAGATGTTAATGTTTTTGCTGCGGACACATTTGCTGCAGCTAGCAAACCTTCATCCCAGGACAGCTAGAGCCCAGGCCATCATGCCGGGCGGGATTTTCATGTCTTTGCTGTGGACACATTGTTACCGGCCTGCATGCCTCAGCCGCGCCATGTTGTCCTGAACCCTGACCTTTTACATGACATCGTGCTAGAGTTGCGATACTTTCCGCTTCATGTCAGACAGCAGCCGCCTTGTTCATGTGTAGGTTCGAGAACGCAACCGATTTGAGAAAGCATAGCCGCAAGGAGCACAGCAGTCTTGGCAGCAGCTGTTGGGGCTTGTTTGCTTGCTGCGCTCCGTTTGATGAAGTGTAGTGTAGGCCAACACATTGGCCGTGGCTTGCTTGTGTTGCTTTGAACGACGGCATCATCCTGCTTGTTGACAGTTCCGCTTGGCATTGAATTGAGCCTGCAGTCTGCCGTTTGAGCATTACTTCAACAGCAGAGACTAGAGACCGGTGTCATGCAGCATGCAATGACTCGTTCTGGTTCGCATTAGATGAGGGAACTCCGTGGTGTTTGAGGGGATGTTGTGGTGATGCGGCACGAAAATACGTGGTGCATGAAGGACATGACAGTCCCACAACTGACTGAAACCTGTGTCGTGGCAAAATGCCATAGCACATACGTGCTGTGCAGGTGCAAAAGCTCCATTCGTGTTGTAGTTGGCTCTGATTTTGCGATCTCAGCCGTAGCAGTGAATGCCCCTGCAGCACCAATGAGCTCTGAGAAGCTGCTCGAAGCTGCCCAGCAAGAAAGTTCCGGGCGAGGTGCCTACCCAGCGGGAGCTGCAGGTGATTCAACTGCTGTGTTTCCTACTGAGCAAGTTTGGAACGGTTTCAAGACGTCCCGTGGTCTGATAGTCAGCCAAGTGTATCGCTTGAATGGCAAAGCAGTCGTCGATATTTTCGAAGAGGACACACAGTCTCTCGCTCCCGTGCCTTTCTCTGATCTCGGGCTGGAAGATGTGAGGCCTGATCCCGCGTGCTTGCTGCCAAGCCAGAGGAGGCAAGTTGAAGGCTGGAATGTGCAGGCGACTCTTGGAAACGCCTTTTGCGTTCTGGCCCTGCGCCCAGCTCTCGGAGAGCACGGAACGACGGGGGAGCTCAAGTGGACCACTTGGCGGACGCTAGATCAACGGAGCACTGATCTCGCTCGCTACGTGACGAGCGTCTTGCCCAAGTCTGCGTGCATCATCCTCTGTGCTCGCAACTCGGTCGACTGGATCGTCGCTCTCTTGGCCATTATACTTGCAGGTTGCATGGCAGTTCCCATTCATTTTCTCGCGCAGGAGAGCTTTCGTGAGGCAGTGATCGCCGAAGCAGATGTTCCTTAGGGGTACGTAGAAATATTTGTCAGTTTTTGGTTATTATACTCCCTAAGAAACAGCTAAAATTATGATTTTTGCTAGGGTTCCAAGTTCCGTATAGGTTCGGGCTGCCTTCACCGACACGCCGAAGACGAAGAGCTGGGAGTCTCTGAGAGTCTTAGACCTCGGAAAGCTGCGGGTGCTGGAGGCCCAGGGAGCTTCGCTCCGGAAGTCCGATGAGTTGCGAGATGCTTCCTTGAGCTCTTTGAAGCTTCAGCTGCAAGACGTCCTCGAGGCCCCCCCCGAGATGTCGGCGACCGGGACCGGTGCACGGCAAGCGCTGCAAACATTTCTGGCTGCTGAGAAGTGGGACGATGAGCTTGGTCACCTCATCGTGATGCTTGCGACGTAGGAGAACTTAGAAATAGTTTTTAATATTTGGTCATGATCATCCCTAAGCATCAGCTAAGGTTTCAATTTTGCTGTCATCCCAAGTTCAGTATAGGCTAGACGCGACATTCAATGGCTCACTGCTTTGGCAGCACCTGGAGTAGTTGGTCCGCTGACTCTGCGAGCGCTGGCAGAGAGTTGGATGCCAGCCCAAACACCTGCGCAATGGGAAGCAGCTGGTGAGAGATCCTGGACATGCTCTTCAGGAACACTTTATATACATATATAACTATAATAATCTACGAACCTTATTAATCTAAATACATGCGGTATGCGTGTCGGTATAAACTTGAGTCGACTCCTGGGTTTACCGGCGATGCGCAGCCAGGATTTGGCGATGTTTGGCTGACAGCCGTGTTGGAGGCTCCTGAAACCTAAACCCTAAACCCCTAAACCCCTACACCCCTAAACCTCTGAACCCTAAACCCCTAAACCCCTAAACCCCTGAACCCCTGAACCCTAAACCCCTAAACCCCTGCACCCCTAAACCCCTGAACCCTAACCCCCTAAACCCTACACCCCTAAACGCCGTGTTGGAGGCTCTTTCTCGTCATCGGCGACCTGACAGCAACTGCCTGGCATATGCCCTGCGCTTGGCCGGGCGGCAGACGTTGCTTGACCCTTGGGCACTTAAAGGATCATGCGACGGTTATTATCAGGGTAACTCTCCTTTTATAACCCCAATAAGGGAACTTAACACCCAACTTACTAAGTCCCAGGACCCTTGGGCAGTGGAACTGGTCTGTCGCCTCGCCGCCTCCCTGCCTCTTCAGTCGCAGCAGTCCTGGTTCGACCTGGCGGAGACTTGTTGGCTGTAAGGTCAACTTTTCAGCTTTTGGGGTTCTTATAAGGTAGTCGATTCTGAAAGTTTTAACTTTTATTTCCTTGTGTTTTGGGCCAGTTAGGAGAAAGTGGCTCCTGCAAAGGTCGGTGCCAGCTACGAGCTTCTAAAGGCTACCCCGTTGCGACGCAACAAGGAGAACGAGCCTAGGCGCCCGAGTCTTTCTTTTTTGCTAAGCTTCAAGTGGGACTTTCCGAAAATCGGGGACCCTAATATAGCATCCTAAATAGTAGGATCCTTATTAAACGGACCCCCAAAATAAGGTAACCCCACCTGTTTTCGGAACTTCCCAAGTCGCAAAGAAACGGGCTGAACAAGCCTTAGGGGTAAATTTTCTGTTATTATAATCCCTAAGAAACATCTAAAATTATAATTTTTGCTAGGGTTCCAAGTTCAGTATAGAAAAGAGCCGAGGATCAGGAGATGTATGAGTTGGCCGAGGGCTCCGTCGTCGAAGTCTTGCAGGTGGACGGTTGTCAAAATAAGGGTCCCTTTTTGGGTCCCTATTATAGTACGGTAGTACGGCACCTAGGTACCCCAAAACGGGACCTTAATTTTGGCAACTACCCAGGTGAGTGGCAGTGCCGTGGAGGTTGCTAGTGAGGTGGCGCAAGGATGGATTGATCTGTGGGACGGCAGCGGCGCACCCATCATGGATGAAACAATCCCAGAACCGATTGCAATGATCCTGTACACCAGCGGTTCCACAGGGGCTCCAAAGGGTGCCTTAATCAAGAACAGTGCGCTGAATAGATACATGTGCAACAGGATAAGCACTGGCGAGAGTGATTTTTCTGGGGTGCTCATTCATGGGGCTCCGCTCTCAACATCGGCATCTCCTTACAACATCTTTGGGAACATCTTAGGAGGTGGCCGGAGTGTGATTCTTCAGGAGGGAGGTCAGCTCTTTGAAGTGGCGCCCTCTGTTGGACCAACCCAACTGGGCGGTGTTCCGCAGATGTGGGCGCTCCTCTACAAGCGCTTTCAGGATCGTCTCTCATCCTGTGATGAAGCAGGAGCAAAGGCCTTGCACGAGGAAGCAAAGGGTTGCTAGGTAGTGCTTTGGGACATTTTTTATTTGCTCTTAGGGCTTAAGAGGATCTTACCTACTAATATTTTTCAAAGGCTTTAAAAGTCCCTCCTAGGTTGGCTAGGGCCCAGGATCCACCGAATCAACTGTGGGGGAGCCTTGCCATGTCCGGCTGTGATGCGTTGGCTCCAAAGCACCTACAGCGATGCTGAGGTGAGTGAAAACTATGGCCTCACGGAGGCAGGAGGCATCACAGCTAGTGGACCTGGCCAGCTCCCGCCCATCAAGGATGGCGTGCAGGTGCGACTGGAAGACTTTGGCATGTACAAGACCACGGATGTTCCGCCACGTGGAGAGATCTGTGTAAAGACGCAGCGCATGGCCGCTGGGTATCTGAACCGCCCTGACATCACCAGCGAAAGCTTCACCTCAGATGGCTTCTTCCGCACGGGGGACATCGGCGAGATGCCTGACCCCAAGCACTTGCGTGTAATTGATCGAAAAAAAGCGTTCTTCAAACTTAGCAATGGTGAGTGGGTGTCGCCGGAAGCAGTGGAGGCAATCCTCATGGAGTGCCCTGAGGTACAACAGGTATTGGTGCATGGAGACTCTGCACATGATTGCATCGTGGCTGTCGCTGTGGCCAGAGTGCCGCCTGAACAAGTGCTTGATGCATTCCGCGGCGTGATGCAGTTTCGAACAGGTGTTCGCCATTTTGAGACACCGCAGGCTGTTCATGTCACGTCGGAGCCGTGGGATGCGACGAACGGGCTCCTGACGGCAACTGGGAAGCTCTGCCGCAGGAAGATCTTCGAGCATTTCGCGGCACCGATCCAAGACATGCTGGAATCCGGAGACTGGGTTCGTGTTGAGGGGCTGAATTTGAGATACCATATTACAGAAATCATATATTTATTATGGAGCCCTCCTGCTATGGTAGCTTAAAAACAGAACCCAGGAAAGCAAGACGACCGGACGGAGCATGAGGTGGTGCGATTGATTCGACAGGGAACTGATGAGGAGGCGTGGCAAAAGCTCAATCTAACCAGCGTCGCAGCAGTAAGCGCATCGCACGCAATCCGACTCTTCTTTGGGGTGGATGTGTCGGTGATCCATCTCTTGCAAAAACCTCCATTAGTCGCGATGAAAGCTCACGTCGAAGGCAGGCAGCAACTCCAGCTCAGCACACGTGAAGAGCTCGTGGGCTTGGGAGGTTTTGTTCCCATGTCCGGCGAGAGATCTTCGAAGATCTTACTGACTGGGGCAACTGGCCACGTAGGTGCCTGTGTGCTTCAGCATTTGGTGACCTCCGGACTCCGAGTGACGACCTTGGTGCGTGGCCCATCCCATGCTGCGGCCAAACAGCGTCTCTTGGAAACGCTGATGCAGCGTGGCTATAATGAGGCAGCTGAACAGCTGCGCCTGGACGGCGTGAGCGTAGTTGCCGGTGATCTGTCTGAAGAGTTCTGCAATCTTCCTCAGGAGGAGTTCCATGATCTCGCTGGAGGCGTCATCCTTCATGTGGCCGCAGAGGTGCACCACTTGCAGAGCTACAGCGCTTTGGAAGCTACAAATGTTCAGGGAACTCGACGCCTCTTGATGCTCGCTTCATTGGCGCCCACGAAGTTTGTGCTGATTTCCACCGAGTCTGCACAGGAATCTCGCAGAAGCTCCGGGTATGGGCAAACCAAACATGCAGCAGAAAGCCTGGTGCAGGAGGCGTTGTCGCGCGGCATGCAGGGCAGCATTTTGCAACTTGGGATGGTCGGCCCAGATCGCGTCACCGGAGCTTGCAACGTGCAAGATTGGCTGATTCGCTACGTTTTGGGGGCACTTCAGCTGGGAGCTTGGCATGGAGCTGGAAGCTTGCGGCTTTTTCCGTGTGAAGAGGTTGCAAAGGCGATCGTGGCTCGTATTCATGACGATATCTGCAAGCCAGCTGCTTGCGTGTTGCCATCTGCAACTCTCATGGGCTTGGTGGCCTCTTCGGACGTGCTGTGTCGCCGAATTCGCCAGGTGGCTCTGGCAGAATGGCAGGAGCTGCTTTCTGACCTCCCAGAGTCCAACCCCATGTTCCCCCTGCGGCACTACTATTGGAGAGGCTTGGGCCGAGACGTCACAGAAGAAGGGCCCCACGGATACGATCAGGACTCGGTGAATTGCATGCTGAAGTTTCTGGATAGGGAAGGTCTTTTCCCAACGGCCTTGTTGCAGAGAACCAAGTCCAGTAACAGAGCAGCTGAGATTCCAAATCGCCCATCGCTTCATCGAAGTATCTCGCAACCTTCTGAACATGGAGGCAAAGCCTGAGGACCGGAACTTTGCTTCCTTTGCCAAGAAGAGCCTTCGCTGCCCGACCTGCAGCTTTGAGTCCAGGTCTTGCCATGAACAGTGGCGTGTATCTTAGAGTTCTCTAATATGGACCCTACTCAAAGGATCATGGAACTTAGTAACTAGGGTTTCATTATAGGGTAGTTATGCTTATGACCCCAATGAGGGTACTTGTAGCCTTACTTACTAGGTCCCATGACCCTCCAAGTCATATCTTGGGATTATGGGGCCGGGGTTTCTTAATCAGCTTCCTACATTGTCGATCCGGGTGCACTTCTTTAGCGTTGCAGATGCCTTGCAGGCTCCGAAGCACTTGTTCAAAACGCAGCTTCCCTGAGAGCGAAGTTGCAAGAGGAAGCCATAAGCCGAAGTCATTGAACAGGAGGGTCTGCTTGCGCTGAATTCTTCCGTGACGGCATCATCCCAATGAGAGGAATCCCAAGAGGTCCAAAGCCCAACGCCGAAAATCAGGGCCAGGTTCTCTTCGGTGCAGCATTCGGCTCAGTTTTCCAGTGCTCATTGAGTCCAATGCTGGCACACCCGCCGCTGAATCGGTGCGTCCATGCGCAGACTCGGCATACTTTGGGTTTGCGTGCACTGGGAAGCGTCCAAAGGTGCGAACTGTGCAAAGACAAGCCTCATGGCTGTGTATCGGCTTCGATGTTTTTATAATAGACACAGTAGTAGCCGGAATTTTACGGACTTGCTGTTGTTTAACATCACATCTTGAGCATCTTAGGGTTTAGGGTTTAGGGTTTAGGGTCATGAGTTCCAGGAGAGCATGTGCTTTTCTCGTGATCTGTGGGACCCTTTCCTCGACGGCCCGAACGCCGAAAACGCGTGTCTCTTTGTCACTGTTGGGTAACATTTTACATTTTTATGGGTACTTAAACCCAATAAGGAAAAAAGTGTACATTTTTAACCTATCCCAACAATGAACTAGGTCTGTGGTGGTCGACGAATAAAAGATTCTCGGAAGCTTCGTGACGCTGCTGCAGACACTGCAGACGATCCGAAATCGACAGAGATGGATGCACCCGGTGTTTGGGAAGGCATAGAGTGCTCAGTATTTGTTGTCAAAGCATACGGGATGCAGTGTCTGCTTGTTAGCACTTTTTGGATCAAGTCTCGGATGCCCGAAACTTTCACCAGGAGAACCTGGAGACAATTTGATGACTGCGGACGGATGGGCAGCCCGGCAGCAGGAGTTGGTGAATATCGAGTTTCAGGAGGAGAAGCGGCAAGTGGAGGAACGATTACGACACTGGCCAGTGGAAAAGTTGGTGGCCGAGGGCTTGGCACTATCGAATTTGCAGGTGAAGCGTGATGGCGAGTTCTTTGGTGACCCTCTGATTGAGTTTTCGTTTCCGTCTGCTCAGCCGCATGATTTCCAGAGTGGGGACTGGCTGCTGGCCAGTAAGTCGTCCAAACACCCACTGTTGCCAGGGGCTCTGTCCGCCCAAGTAGTGGATGTCCAGCCGACCAAGATCTTGTGTGCCATGCCGGTGGAACCGTCTAGCAGCATAGAGCCTGGCTTTCTTGGAAAAGATTTTCTGCTTGCCGTTGGGCCATCGAGCCGGTTTTGAGCAGAAAACGACCATGCACAGATAACGCCGCTACTATAGAACCTTTATTACAAGAACATGGTCATCGTGATTATTCTATACTCCCAAGCCCTACATCGTAACCCTCACTATAAGAATACCGTAAAGAATACCGTCAGTATTATGCAAAATCCTCCAAAAGCTGCTCAGGAGTGGCGCTTGGACCGCGGGGTGAACTACGTGACCTTCCGTCGGATCTCGGAAGCGTTGTCCCTACATGGCACCTTGAGGAAGCTTTTAAATGTTCTCTGCGGTGCCACAAAGTTTCCGTAAAAGTATCCAGAAGAAGAAGCTTTCTTTGGGACACCTTTGTCAGTCTTGATCTAATCCAGAGGAGGTATCCACCTCATCGAAAACCCTAAACCCTAAACCCTAAACCCTAAACCCTAAATCCTAAAACCCTTGACTCCCCAGGTCTTCCTTTGGAGGTAACGGCGTCCCAGGAGATGTGCGTGCCATACTCCTGGGGCATGACGACCTTGAGGAACGCAATGCGATGGAGGATCTCTCTTTACAGCTTCCAAGTGCTGCTTGGACTATTAATATCATGATTATTCTTATTGCTATGCGTTTCATCATTGTTGCGGTTGCTGTTGTTAATTTTAGTGTTTTTAATATTGTTTGTTTTCTTGTCTGGGTTTTGCGGTGGCTTTTGCCGAGAGTCGGGCAGCAGGGCTGTGTTCGGAGGGTGGCGGTTGCAGCTGAGGAAATTCCTTTGGATGACAGCCAGCATGAGGCCAGAGGAGCTTGCATACGTGAAGGGGTCGCATTCATCCCAGAACTCCCTCGAATCGTAAACTCTGGTAATTCGGCAGGATGAGCCTGAATGGAGACCCATTCCCACCACACCAGACAGGCGAGAATTATACGGGGTGGACGCATCTCACATGGGTGTTTCAGAGAACCCCGGCTCGGTTTTTGGGTCCTTGTAAGACGAAGAATACTTTCAGAGTGTGTCTAGGGTCTCTATTGGCCTCCCTAAATGCTCAAATGGAATCTCTTGCCAACGTGTGATCATAGGTACAACGCCAAGGAACCTTCCAAATGGCACAGCACCAGTTTGCCGAGATCACATCGAACCACACGTTGCCCCAGACCACAGTCTCAAGTCCTGCAACTTTCACCTTAAGCCCTACTTGGAGGGTCATGGGACTTAGTAAGTAAGGTTATAAGTACCCTCATTGGGGTTATAAGTATCATTACCCTAATGATTGCCCTAGTTACTAAGTCCCATGGTCCCTTTCAGTAGCCAAATACAGGTTTAAGGTTCACAGGAGTTTTTTGGTTGAGTCACAAGGGCTTCCAGGCCATCATGTGCTGTGCGCATGGAATACCCAGGGTTTCGGGTGTTAGGGTTTAGGGTTTAGGGGGCTTCATTAAGGTTCTGTTCTGGCTTAGGCCTAGCGCCTAGAGTCCTAGAGTCAGACTGTTCAGCTTACAGCATTGGGGAAGTATCGTTAACAAGAATAGTAACACTAGCACTAACACTAACACTAGCAGTAGAAGTATCAATAGCAACAACCTTCGGCCGCCATGTAAACGTGCGCACGAGCCAATAACAACAGCAATCTCAATAGCAATTTCGATCGCAATCACAACAACAAAGCCACAACCACTAACACTAATACTAACACTAACACTGGCACTAACACTAACGCGAACATGAACACGAACACCAACACGATCACGATCATGAGCACGAACATGAACACTATGAGTGTCATTATCACAATGACAACAACAACAGCAGTAGCAATAGCAACATCAATGATAACAATAAGAATGATGAGACCATACAAGACCTATAGAGATCATAATCGTAATGAAAAGAACCACAAGAAGAATGGGAAGTAGAATAAGAATAGGAAGAATGCTGATAAGAAAATGAGAATAAGACTGCAAGAATAATCATCCGGAGATTTCAGCCTTCAGGCCGTCCAATCGCTGCAGACGCAGCGGCTGAGCCTCATCCAAGGACCGGCCATGTCTGCAACCTCTCTTCAGGGTTTAGGGCTTTGGTTTGGGGGTTTAGGGCTTCGCCGTCGCCTGTCTGCCTAAACACCATTCTAAACCCTAGACCCCAGACAGTACGCCCCAACCCTTTCAAGAAAGCTTCTGAGTAACCCCCCAAAACAAGAAACACCCTGAACCCTGGACCCTTTGTCGGTTCAGAGTTTAGGGCTCAGGGCTCAGGGTGGTTTGGGGTTGCATTGCATGGATGCCGAGGAAAGAATACTCAACGTCAGCCCTAGACCCCCTGCACCCTTGACCCAAAGCATTAGAGGGTTCAACGCCCAACAGAAAGGCGTTCTGATTTTCAGCCCGATCTTCCGTCCTCTTGTTGGGTCCTAAACCCTAAACGGCTTCAATTACAAGCAACTTCGTTCCCCAACTGAGGCCCCAACAGAAGGCTCCTCCTGGTAAGGAACGCTTTTTGTCCTGCAGCTGGAAAAAAAAAACACAGCCGAATACTAAGCGCTAACCCCCAAACGCGCTGAGCTTCTTATCCTCAGTTGCTCTTTAAACCCTAAACCCTAAACCGGGGGGGCTGCAAATTGCCAGGCTCTAGGGTTGTTTGGGGAGTAGGGTTTGGGGTTGTTTGGGGTTTAGGGTGTAGGGTTGCTTGGAGATTAGGGTTTACGGTTTGGGTTTTAGGTCCCAACGGCCCAAGACCCGAATGATGGGTACGAGTTGGAGCCGTCGCGACAAATCTCTGCACACTGACGCCTGGCACGAGATCCCAATCTCTAGTACCCGCAGAACTCTAAACCCCCGAACACTTCGACCCTAAACCCCAAGCCCTAAACCCAAGCCCTTAACTTAAACCCCAGGCCGTAAACCCCAAACCCCTGAACCCTAAACGCCTAAACCCTTAACCCTAAACTCCTGAACCCTAAACCCTAAACGCTAAACCTCTGAACCCCTGAACCCCTCAAAGCCCGGCCAACCTGCGCAGGGCCGCCTGGTTGCGGAAAGACTCGCACAGCCTGCTCTTTGCTCCAGGTGCAGAGCCTAGGGTTTAGGGTTTAGGGTTCAGAATTTAGGGTTTTAGGGTTTAGGGTGTAGGGTTCAGAATTTAGGGTTTTAGGGTTTAGGGTGTAGGGTTATGGTCTAGGGTTCAGAATTTAGGGTTTTAGGGTTTAGGGTGTAGGGTTATGGTCTAGGGTTCAGAATCTAGGGTTTAGGGATTAGGGTTTAGGGCTTCGCTGCAGGTGCAGGGTCTTAAGGGTTGAGGAGTCGGTAGGTTGTTGCTCCGTTGGCGACGCAGCTCTTGTTGTTGCCGGATTTAGGGTTTTTAGAGGTGTAGGGTTTAGAGTTTAGGGTAGGGTTTAGGGTTTCAGAGGTGTAGGGTTTAGGGTTTAGGGTGAGGTTTAGGGTTTCGGAGGTGTAGGGTTTAGGAGTTTAGGCTTCAGGGCTTCGAGTCTTGGGGATCAAAAAGGCTGACGTTTCCGGCTTGGGGACTCGAGGCTTCGGATGTTTTTTGTCGGGGCTTTAGTGTTTCATTTGCTGTGGTTAGCCCTAAACCCTAAACCCCCATACCCCTAAACCCTAAACCCCTAGACCCTAAGTCGTAAACCCTAAACCCTAAACCTTAGCTCCTGGAGGTTTACCGAAGACCAGTGCTCTGCTAAGAGCTGCAGCACTGACATCTCCGAGCGGCGGCAAGCTGTAGCGAGCCGTCATCAAATCATCATCATCATCATCATCGTCGTCATCGTCGTTACCTCCTCATCGTACTCGACCACTTTCACACTGTCATCGTCATCTTCATGGTCGCCGTCGTCGTCCTGGCCATCACCATCATTGCCGCCCTCGTCCTCCTCCTCCTCATCACCACCAGCATCATCATCACCCACCACCGCCACCGACACCGCCACCCCCACTGCCACTGCCACCATCACCCTCACCTCACCCTGACCCTCACCCTCACCCTCACCCTCTCCGTTACCGTCACCTCTCTCTCTCTCTCTTTCTCTCTCTTTCTCTCTCTCTCTCTCTCTCTTCTCTCTCTCTCTCTCTCTCTTTCTCTCTCTCTCTCTCTTTCTCTCTCTCTCTCTCTCTCTCCCTCTCTCCGCCATCGCCGCGAGGGCCGCATTGCGTCCGCTCGGTCAGAATGCAAGATCATAGTCATCATCGTCATCCTCCGCCTCCTCCTCCTCCTCGTCATCCTGCTCCTCATCATCATTATCACATTCATAGCAGTAGCAGAAACTGAAAGACGCACAAAATTCTGGCCAGGCTGCTCACAGAGCCGGCTTGAGGGTCTTGGCCGTGGCGGATTCCCGGTTTCAAGATACCCTAAACCTTGCATAAGAGGAGCTTGGGATTCAATTCTTTGGGGCTTTTCAGAATTTGGCTTGGAGTTAACTTTTGTGGGTTGCCTTGTGTTTTGTTTCTCGACTTAGTGCTCAGGTAGAGGTGGGGTGGTGGTAGTAGTAGTAGTAGTAGCAGTAGTAGTAGTACAAGCGGCAGCAGTGTTGTGGTAATGACGATGATCGTAACAGCAATAGTAGCAGCAGAAGCAGGAGGAGTAGTAGTTGTTGTTGTGGTGGTAGCAGTAGTAGCAGCAACAAAAGTAGTAGCAGCAGCAGCGATGCAGAGCTGGAGGAGGGGGAGGGGCAGCGGAAGTAGAGTAGCAACGGTGTCCTCTTCGGATGCTCGAGGGCTTCTGATCCGTTCTCATACGGCAAATGATTAAGGGTTTAGGTCTCTTGGGGCTTGAGCATCCCATCAACTCTGTCCAGTATGATATATCAAAAGTTCGTAGTACAAGCATATAGGGGTCGGAATTGATAGCAATATTGCACCCTTGTAGTCCTTATATAGTTGTTAATCATCTGCACCCCAAAACCATTATTTTAGTCATTAAGGCACCTCTTTTGCTTTGGACACACGTATGCCGATCAGGATTCAAACGCCGCCGTAGACCAGCTACTGCAAGGACCCATGCTCAGAACGAACGGGTTGGAAGCTCGCTTTGCGTGTCAATTTCTGGTGTCTTTTCAGGTTGTTCTGCGTTGTAGGATTTGCGCCTAAGCCCTAAACCCTAAACCTTAAGCTGAATCTTCTTGATTGCGTCTTAGTCTCAGGCAGCTTAATCTAAAGCAGTGGGACCAGTTGCGACTCGTCGTTTACTTCTGTTCCGGGGTTTAAAACCTCCCCTTAACCCTAAACCCCAAGCCTTTAACCAAACCCTAAACCCTAACCCTAAGCCTTTAAAGCAAAACCCTTATCCCTAAACCCCAACTTTGAGTTCATGTGAACAGTTTTAAGACGATGGATGGAGCAGTTCGAACGGTGGCTGAGACCGCCACACTGCCACACCGCGAGGCCCCACAGGTCAAAGAGGCCCAAACCAGGACACTAAACTGCTGCTACCTAAGTTCCTACAAACAGGCTTTTCAAAGACGAAGATCAAGCCGCAGCGTTTTCAGCCAGAGCCCTGGCCCTAAGCCCTGAACCCAAATCTTGAAGCCAACTATGAACCCTTGAATCCCAAACCCACGTCCCTGAAATCCTTATCCACAGAGCCTGGAACCCAAAGCCTGTAACTTCAGAATCTCGGTCTATTGGCCATTGCTTCTTCAACCCCTAAATCCCTAAAATACACCTTAAACCATGAACCTTTGAATATCAGAATCTTCTTGCGAGCCTTCCCACGACTCCTTTCCATCGAATGGATCCCTATGACAGTCCGTTAAGGGTACCTTGTAGTGGTCCGTATAACCCATTACCCCATTCCCTACTAAGAACCAGACAGAGGACTCCTTTCCATCGGGGTAGACGCACTCCGAACTGGTGCACCCGAGAAAGAGATAT